ACGGCATCATGTCATCTGATTGCTCCCACTCTGTTCTGGATGAGTGTGCATTCAGCCTAATGTGTTGATTACTGACTCCATGACTCCCATTAAAGAGCTTTGCTTTCCCACACAGGAAACAGCAGAGCCTTTGAGAATTAATTAATCGCACAACACATGCTATATGACTAAATGAATGCACACACTGTCAGAAAAATATGTATTTAACCATTAACACAATTTGTTTATTTAATGACTATATTACTTAACCTAAAGTACTTGTATTAGATGTTTGATTTCTGCTATATTAGGCATATGCATAAAAAACAACCTCATAAAGTGTGTGTGTGTGTGTGTGTGTGTGTATGCAGACCCTCAAGAAGGCATTGAACAAGTCACTCTTTCTGTGTCCTTTGGGTGGCGCTGTGATACAGGACAGCATGTATCACTCAATAAATCAGGATGAAGAACGGAACAGCTTGGGGTTTGTCCTTTTATTTCGAAATTGAGGGGGTGTGAAATTGCTGATTGCTTTGACTCGACCTGCTGTAAGTCTTTTCCGATTGCGCAATTTTTTTTAAACACAGTTGTTGTGTGCGTATAGGGAACGTTGTGTCCTATGGCTAAATTTATTTGCCAAACTGTTCAGAATCCTGAGAAAAATTTTTTTTTAAAGTGCGTTAATTATTAATATGAATGTGATTATTTTATATGGATTTACACTACCAGTCAAAAGTTTTTGAATGGTAAGATTTTTAATGTTTTTTAAATAATTCTCTTCCGTTTACCAAGCTTGCATTTATTTGATCCAAAATACAGCAAAAGCAGTAATATTGTGAAATATTTGACTATTTAAAATAACCATTTTCCATTTGAATATATTTTAAATTTTAATTTTCAAAGCTGGATTTTTAGCATCATTACTCCAGTCTTCTGTGTCACATGATCCTTCAGAAATCATTGTAATATTGTTTTGTTGCTCAAAAAAACGTTTATTATTATTATTATTATTATTATTATTATGTTGTAAACAGCTGAATTTTTTTTCCAGGTTTCTTTGATGAATGGATCAGCATTGATCTGAAATAGAAGTCTATTGTAACATTATAAATGTCTTTATCATCACTTTTCATGAATTTAAAGCATCCTTGCTAAATAAAAGTTATAATTTCTTTATAAAAAAACATTATACTGACTCCAAGGTTTTGAATGCTATAGTGTTATAATGTTACAAAAGCCTTTTATTTCATAAATGCTGATCTTTTGATTTTTCTATTAATCAAATAATCCTTAAAAAAATTGACTCAACTGTTTTAAATATTGATAATAATAATAATACAGATATTTCTTGAACAGCAAATCAGCATATTAGAATGATTTCTGGATCATGTGACACTGAAGACTGGCGTAATGATGCTGAAAATTCAGCTTTGATCACAATAATGAATTACATTTTAAAGTATTTTCAAATAGAAAGCAGTTATTTTAAATAGTAAAAATATTTCACAATATTACTGCTTTTGCTGTATTTTGGATCAAATAAATGCAGGCTTGGTGAGCAGAAGAGAATTCTTAAAAAAAAAAAACATTAAAAATCTTACCGTTCAAAAACTTTTGACTGGTAGTGTATATATGCCATACAAATAATACATTAATGTTTATTACCAAAAGTCAAAATAAATGAAGCTACCATCATTCTAACAAAAAAATGGTCATCCGCATATAGCATGCATGTGCATTTCTCATCTTATAAATTAGATAAAGAGTTTCTGAAAGCCGCGTTTCTAAATGACTAATTAACTGATTAAATATATATGACGGAGCTCGAGTGCTGCTCACCATCATGCATTAAGTGCTTTAGCAGTGGTCCTGCTCCGTTTGGTGGGCTGGAAACAACACACTCTAATGACTGCAGGACAGATGTTACTATGCTAACTAAGCGTTGACCTGCTCAATATTCATCAGCCATGGTTAAAATCGTTCAACCAAGGATTCTTGGAGTACCAGAAGCGACCAGAATGATGAGCATTTTTGTTTGTGCAACAGCATTGTATTTTCTTTTTCCTTGTTTACAGATGCAGGAGGGTTTGTAGGCAGCTGCTCTGCATATAAACTGTGTCTTCATGTCACAGTATGAACTCAGACTCAGAAATGTAGGCCATGCTTTAGATGATTCATGCAAGAACTCTCAGCGTTCTGGCCACAGGATTTCTCGATTCGCTAAGATACAACAAACACATGGTGCTACATCCAGACAGTCAGCATCCTCTGATACAATGCGTAAATATAACAGATATTCATTGTTTGTTTTCATATTTGAGCTTGGACTGAAAGTCTAAAGACGCAGGATGTGCGTTCACTGCGAGAACATTGCGTAAGTGTACCGGCTGAAACAGTTGGTCGTGTGTTCCTACAGTAAATGTCTTTTAAAGCAGCACTATGTAACTTTTTCTGTGTTCAAGATTTGCAAAATGTATATAATGAGCGAGTACATCATGAATTCATCTTCCAAACCGCGTTTTTATCTGATTCCGAATCACTACGGTACACTTATAATAAGTACTTATATTTGGACTATTGTAGCCTGGTCGGGTCGTCACCGCTGCGGAGTAACGCATACCTGCGTGAATCGCCATAGACATAAACTTGGAGAAGTAGCTCCGGTTGGATTGTTCTTTCGCGGGATGTGTGCAGTTCTGTTTGTTAACCGCTAGAGCGCCAAAAGTTACATAGTGCTGCTTTAAAGTGTTTATTTTCATAGTGTTATTGTTCAAAGGTTTGGGGTCTGTAAGATTGAAATTAAATACTTAAATTGTTTAAAATTAATTCATTCTTTTATTCAGCAAGGATGATTTTAATGGATCAAAAGTGACAGTACTATTGACTTTTCATTGTAACAAATAATAATAAAAAAATGCTGGGAAAAAAACTTCAAACAAACCTGAAAAAAAGTCAGTTTGCACAAAAATGTTAAGTGGCACAACTGTTTTCAACATTGTTAGTAATAAGAAATGTTTCTAGAGCACCAAATCAGTATTTTAAAATACTTTTTGAAGGATCATGTGACACTGAAAATTCAGCTTTGCCATCACAGAAATAAATTACATTTGACAATTTATTAAAATAGAAAATAGTTATTTAATTTTGTATAATATTTCACAATAATACAGTTCAATAAAATAAAATAAATCATGGCAAAAAGTCCCACCCTGTAGTCTTGGGTATGAGAATTTTTCATCTATTTTATTGTCAGCCAGACAAAAACTGAAAAAAGGCCGCACCTTTCTTTCAAGTGTTATTTATGTCTGTACGAATAAACTGCATTTTTGTTGAGTTTTCCTAATATGATATGAGCACTGTGTCTCTGTACTATATACTAAAGCAGCAAGATGTGGGATGAATGTATGCGTAATGTGAGAAATTAGCAATGAAGAGCATAAAGGGAGAGCGAGAAGAAGAGTGAGAGAGAAAAACAAACCGATCGCAGAGTGGGCGACAAAATCGTTTTGTGACCCACTTTAGCTGTTGTTATCAGCTTGTGGAAAATGATAACAGCCTCTTTTCACTGTCGATGAATGTTCATGTTTTTTAAATGCACTCTTTAGTGCTATTTCCAGGTAGCACGTTTTTCTGAAAATGCTCAAAATTAGTCATTGTTCAACTGACATGAACCACACTTGGCATCAAAAACCTGTTCTGAGAAGAACTATAATAGCAGAACATGCGTACATGAGCGTCTTTACGTATTCATTAATTCACCTATTAATAACAGCCTGCTGAAGGCATCACCAGACCAAAGGAATATCTCTGTTGCTATGGAGTCCAGAGTTGATGACATCACGGGGCATGCGTTAATATGAAAGAGAGGCTGCTGGTTACAGAGAAAGAGGAGATATCGTACATGTGCATTAAACACAGCTGACATAAATGTGTTTTTTTTTTAGGTTTGTACCAAAGCTTTGGGTAGCCTATATAAACCAAAACGCTTACCTGTCTGGTTGGATGTCCAATTTACGTGCTCAAAAGCGTCTTGCTTTGGTGGAAGTGCTATCTGTTAATCAATTTAATGCTTTAAAACATGTCTAATTGCATGAGGAGGTCACTAATGGAAAATCTAATGCTTCTCCTCTCCCACGCTCAACAGAGAACACTGAGTGCTCAATAGATGCAACAATTAGACACACTCATGTGCCAAAGAAATTACTATCAAATCAGTTAGGATCCACCAAAAGTGGTTATATAACTCAATTTATGTGAGCCTTAAAGGGATATTTCAAATAAAAATGCGTGTTTCATTCAGGTACATTGTCGCATTCAACACTTGCTCCCACCTCATGATTTCAAAATTTAGAAATACACACAAAAGCTGTTTTGTGTGTGTTTTTTGAAACCACGGTAAGGCAAATGGCATTCATTTTGTGTTAAATAAGGTGCCTGACACTGACATTGTGTACAGAGCTGGAACAACACTGATAAGGCCCTTTATCGCTGCTCTGCTAAATAGTAATCACAAACACACACACACACTAATATATATAGAAAAACGCACTACAATAATGTTCTTTGTTCTCTGCAAAACATCAGTTGTTTATCTCATTTGTGTTTGTCAGCAATGCATCTACTGTGTCAAACTGC